TCCGTGATTCGGGCATCTCCGAATTAATTGTTTGAACCGCTCCCATGTCTCGAATAGCGCTTCACCGGCTTCTTGTATGAAATTCTGTATTTCTCTCCGGATTCTTTCAGTTTTTGTTGGGGAGTTATACGTGTTCATGAAGAGTTGTGCTAGCTGGGACCAAGATGAGATGGAGTGCGGCGCACGAGTTTGTAACCATTCTCGGGCTGCTCCTTGTAAAGAGTGCTTGAATAGGCGGAGTTGCAGTGCTTCGGGTGATACTCCGTTCATCTTGTGCGAATCACACGTTTCGAGAAAGGTGACCAAGTGGAGATGTGGATCTTCATGAGCTAATCCGCTGAACAACCCATTATTTTGGAGCATTGTAAGGAGTCCCGCTCTAATTTCGAAATTGTTGGCTTCAATGGGGGGTTGCTGGATGCTTGATTGAAACCCATTGAGTGTTGGAACGGTGTACTCATGCAATGCTCGTTGACGAGGTGGTGGATTAATTAGTTGAAGTTGCTCTTGGTCATCTCCCCTATGATTATTCTCTTCTTCCCTTGTCGCATAAAAAGTACCTAAAACAAATAAAATAATTAAATAAAATAAATAAAACGGCTGAAGTAAGAAAAATTGCTCAAATTTAATATTAGGATAAATAGATAATTTAGCCGTATTCCCCGACAACGGCGCCAAAAACTTGTTGGGTGCTAAATACCTAACACGCAAGTGCATGTATCGCAAACAAGTAGTAAAAGTGGACTCGTGAGAGTCGGATGTCGATCCCACAGGGAATACTCAAATTATATAATCCTAAGTACCAAATTCTAACAATTATGATTTTTATCCAACCTACGCAAAGTTGTCAAATTAAATCGATTAAACAATTAAACTAATTAAGAAAGCAAATAAGCACGAGAAAACGGATCTAGGATTTCATCTTCCCCGTATGCAAGAATTGCTCGCCCAAAGGCCCTCAATTATGAAATATATGATTCATGATTATTAACCCGAGACACTAATTTACTCATAACCCGATGTCGCGTGTATTATGAGTCTATTATTCATAAAGGATTCACGATATGTCTGTGCAAACCAATTATGAATAAAGCATTAACTAACAAGTCTGGTAAATGGCTACCTAAGGTGATATCTGTATGTCTACGACACCACATGCAATTGACACACTCATCCGGTGAAAACTACTCGAAGGTTCTTAGACTTACCGTCTAATTATCAAAATAACTCTGCCGAGTCAATCCCAATAATCGCAGATAAAGCACATAAATTGATCAAGCACTAACAATCATAACAAGTATAAGAAATAATCATAAAATCATAATTGCATAATCTCAAGAAAATGGGTTCACCATCCCCACATAGGGTTCCAACAAAATCCTAGATTAAAAACTTAGCTACTCATGTTCTCTACGAAAAATATAATAAAAATATAAAAAGACATAGATTAAGAAAAGATAGATAAAGGAAGAATTGTGATGAAGATTTGTCAATTCTCCGTCTTCGATTCTTCGTTCTCTCGCTCCTCTCGCTCCAAGGTTGTGTCCAAAGTCCTATAATTCGTGCTTGGTTTGGGCTTAAATAGATGTCCCAACTTGGTAGATGATTTTAGGTTTCCTTGTGTGAATAAAAATCCAAAATTGTCTCAGCGTGTGTTGGCACGGCCGCGCGAGAATCAGTGCAAATCTCACACGGCCGCACGAGAATCGCCGAAACCTTCTGCCCAACTTCGGCAGTTGGCACGGCCGTGCCAAAAATAGGTTAAATTTGGCACGGCCGCGCGGGCACTTTTCAGCCAATTTTCAGCATTTTTTGTTTTCTCCTGTTTTTGCCCGTTTTTGACCTTTTTTGGCTCGTTTTGCCCTTGGAACTCCCAAATTGTCAAGTTGTACCGAAAATAAAACAAACCACTCATTAAGCATCATAAAATCAATAAAAGTATACAAAAATCCTCGTAAGAAAGTATACATTGAGTGTAAAATACACACTCAACAAAGCTCCTGACGAGAATATATCAACTTTGTCTAGATTTTCATAATTCTCGTTCAGGATTTCTTGGGGCATGTACCGAGCATCACCTTCTTCAATTGGCCAGCTTTTATCAACGGCAGTCGCACAACCAAAATCACCAAGTTTATAAACTCCATGTTTTACATAAATGTTTTCTGGCTTTACGTCCAAGTGACTACTCCTCTCCCGTGTATAAACTGCAATGCTTTAGCAATCTGCACGAATGCAATTTTTTCAATGAAAAATCTCCTCTGGGAAAGGTCATAGTCAATCCCATCTAACAGCGTTTAACAATTCTAATGAAATATTTAACTCATCACGATAAAAGAAACAAACCACAGAAAGTTAATAATCAGCTACAATTACGTCACGTTATAGATTCAAAATCATTCACCTGATACATTGCCTCTAAAGCTTCTCTTTCTGTGAATAGTTTAGGTATTCTATCGAGAGATAGGCTGTGCTCGCATAGCTCCAATTGGATGTAAAGTTGCTTGTTTTCAAACCACGAAGAATAATAGCCAACTATATTCTCGTGGTACCCTGAGAAAAATGGGAATCGAAAAGTTTAAAAATATCAATCTTTGGATAAAAATAAAAAGAATATAATAATGTAACAAAGCTAAAGCTGCCAAAGCTTGAACTTCCATCAAAGCCTTGCACCTGTGACAGTGTTAAACATAAGTTTGCTGCAAAAAGCGAGTGGCGTAAATACAAGCAGCCGATCATTACTAGTAAATTAAATTAAATTTCCTTTCTGCATCCTGATGCAACTGTCTCATGCTATGTTTTACGGCATACATGCAACCATCAAGTCTCTTCAAGACTTTGAAAACCTGGTTGAAGTTTCCATAACCAATTTTCTGGAAACAAAAAAGCATCAGCTCACAGTAGACAAGCATTTTTAAAAATCAAGATACAACAATTATGTGTTGGTTCCCAAACCTCAATTTCATGGAAATCTGTCCCATAGCGGAAAAGACCATCACCGCCAATGCCTGCAGGATGAAAATCTAGACAGAGAAAATTGCATATGTTATAATAAAGTTGTGTAATACAAACTAAAGGGCTCATTTATATCCATGAACAAGCGGATAAATCTGTTTTTGGACAAAAATATAATCATGTTAGGTATCTAGTAGAAAAAACCACGCAGTGCGTGCAGCCTATACAACAGTGTAAAACATAGAGAAGAAGCATAACAATGAATAAGTGTCATCTTTCCTGAAAAATATGTAGACTAACATTCAAAATGTAAGGATGTATAGTGAGATAAGAATGAGTAATAAATATAATTACGACATAACCAAAAAACATGCAATAAGAAGCTGCAAATAGGTCAAAGGATTATATCCTTTTTTCTGACCAAAATGCAGAGTGGTAGTATTCGATTAATTTTGCATATACTAAAAAAGGAGAAGAAAATCGTGAAACATGATGATATCCGTATAACTCCCCCTCTTCCTTCTTTTTTCATGGCCAAAAGACGTGCGTTTTCTCTGTTTTATTACACCCAAAAACACTTTTTCAAAGATATATTTTATAAACAAGATGATTTATTTGAATTTTGAGTTTATGTATCAATTCTTACAATATTGCAATATTGTATCGATTCTTACTATACTGCACTAGAACCTGTGAGATTGCCAAAACGAGAATCAAGCAAAGCTCTGGCCACCTAAATTCACATTAAGAATCATAAGAAATCTGATTTAAAATTGGAAAAAGAGAATCATAATAGGTTTTCATCGTTAACAGCCAACCAACTCCACAAGTAATTACTGAAGGTCGAGCTGGTGTTGACTTCCGTATCTTCTATTAGAATACTAATTACTGAAAGTGGGACTGCTGCAAGAAAAGAGCCAGTAGAGTAGATTGCAAAGAAAAGAAAAAAAACACAATGTCGGTAAATTTTATATTAATGTGATGACATGTCTTGTAATGGAACTATTTAAGAACTATATTGCACATGGAAACTACGTAAGGGTGTTGTTTATTCTGTTACATGTTTAAAATAGGTTTATAAGCAACTGTATGTGCACAATGCATCATTGAGTAGACATGGATCCATGAAAGGTGTTTAATTAAGAGTGTTACTTAATATTTTGCTGTTTAATCACTTCAAATTCAATTTATTTTTGGAGAGTATTTAATCTTTGGGTTTTTACTTATATTATTTTGGGCAAATTACGATCACCCCACTAAAGTAAGATCAAATTACAAAACCCCCCTTATATTTGAGTAATTACAACCACCCCTTTAATACACGTCCATCCTTACGGTGTCAAGATTACCTACTGAATGAGGGGGTTTTTCGTAAGATTATACATCGTTGAGGGGATAGTTGTAATTACTGAAATAAGATGGTTTTACGTAATTTGATCTTACATGAGGGAGGTATCCATAATTTGCCCTATTGATTTCCCTATAATATTTTTTCCTGATCACATAAGCACATGAAAAACAAAAAATAAAAGTAAAATAAAAAAATCTAAAATATTTAGTACATGATATGGATGTACTGGCAAATCTTTTACTTAGATACAGTGCATGCAGCAGATTCCTGCCCAAAATCAGCAGACCAATTTCTGCAGCAATCTCTTATTTATACAAGATGGCGAAATCTTACGACATAGTAACTGGTACAATAAACATGAGTTAAGTTAAGCTTATGATGACTTACACGATTCCTTCTCTGCAACCGTACAATTCTCCCGGCTTTGCTCGGGATTCCACCTGGCAACGATTCTTTCCTCGACGCTGTAATAATTAATATTCCAAGGAGAAGAACTAGCACCGTCACAATCGTTATAGTTTCTGCTAATGTGGAGAACCAACAACGTTTTTGCAACACTGCCACAGAGACGAAGAGTGCAATGAAAGTCAACACCGTACTGAGACCCCGCCCTAACCACCCAGTTCTTCGTACGAAGATGCGAATACGCTTTATACAGAATCGGGAAATTCACTCTCTTGGACGACATGTAATCCTACAGCTCTTCCTCGTTTTTTACGCAGCTATTTTGACCTACAATCTTGATGCATTTCATTACGGTGCAGAGGTAAAAACCTTCCTCGAGGCATAGTTGAAACCACTGTTTGTTCTTCTCTGTGGTGATAACGAGACGGCCGAAACACGCGTGGTTGAAAAGCTCGGTTTGTTCTTCGTGTGCTGCAAGAAGAACGCTGCTCCCTGAAAGGATTCCTTGAGAACTGGATTCAATCAAAGAGGATTGGAGCCGAGAAACTAGTGTGGACATGGGCTCCGCTAGGGCTTGTGCTTCGGCTGTTTTTCCTTTCCATCTTGCTACCATTATGTGTTCCATAGAAAACGATAAGACGAAAAGTAGACAGAGTATTAAGACAAACACCTGTTTTCCTTGTCCACCATGGATATTAAGCTTTGACATAATCATATCACAAGAGAGAAAAGAAAAGAATTTTTTTAGAGCAAAGAGAGTTGACGAGAGAGTAACTCGAAAAGTGGGACCCGAGCGACCTTTTCATTCGTCAAACTATGCCAGATCAAAGACACCATTAAGGGAGATAAAAAAATATCGTAATTTACCAACAAGGCAACAACTATAGGCTCTAGCCATCAAGCACAAATGTCAAGAAAATGAAGAATAATTCATTTGATTCGCACGCAAGGTACACAAAGTCGAGACTTTGAGTAAAACCAGAGAGGGGGTTCAATAATCAATAATGAGAGTCGGATGTCGATCCCACAGGGAATACTCAAATTATCTAATCCTAAGTACCAAATTCTAACAATTATGATTTTTATCTAGCCTATGCAAAATTGTCAAATTTAATCAACTAAATAATTAAACTAATTATGAAAGCAAATTAACACGAGAAAATGTTAATAAAAACGGACCTAGGATTTTATCTTCCCCCTGTGCAAGAATTGCTCACCCAAAACCCCTCAATTATGAAATATATGATTCATGATTATTAACCCGAGACACTAATTTACTCATAACCCGCTGTCGCGTGTATTATGAGTCTAATATTCATAAACGGTTCACTATATGTCTATGCAAACAAATTATGAGTCAATCATTAACTAAATGGCTACCTAAGGTGATATCTGTATGTCTACGATACCACATGCAATTGACACACTCATCCGGTGAAAACTACTCGAAGGTTCTTATACTTACCGTCTAATTATCAAAATAGCTCTGTCGAGTCAATCCCAATAATCACAGATAAAGCACATAAATTGATCAAGTTCATGCACTAACAATCATAACAAGTAGAAGAAATAATCATAAAATCATAATTGCATAATCTCAAGAAAACGGGTTCACCATCCCCACATAGGGTTCCGACAAAATCCTAGATTAAAAACTTAGCTACGCGTAATTATTATGATAAACAAAATAGAATAAATAAAATAAATAAGAAAAACTATGCTTGAGTCTTCGTTGATCATCGTTCTTCGCGTTTTGTGGTGTAAAATTTCGTACTTATGGTGTTGAGACTTGTCGCTTTTATAGGCTTTTCTTGATAAGGAAGTAGTAGAAACCTAATAGGAATCAATTTCCGCCACTTTTCCCCCATCAGGATTTGTTCGTCAATTTGTGCCATGTTTGAGTCCGAATTCTGGAATGTTGTGTAAATAAGAATTGTATCCCTTGAAATTAGCTTTCTAATGCCGTCAAAATCACCTAATTCGGAGTTCGTATGAGAGAGATATGCTCGAAATGGTGGACATTATCAAAGCTGTGGCGAGATTCCTTCTTCCAATTTGATTTGTTTCCTTATTTGCAACTTTTTCCTTTCTTTTTGATCTTTTTTCCTTCATGGACACTTAATTCTCGTTTTTCACTTATAAAACAAAAAATCAATGAATTAAAGCACAAATATAATTAAATCTAAACAAAAGATCCACGTAAAGGAAACATATTGAGTGTAATATCTACACTCAACACACCCCCAAACTTGAACTTTTGCTTGTCCTCAAGCAAAATCTAATCGTAAGCAAAAAAACTCAACTACCGCATCTCATCACATAGATTAATGACCAAATCCACGTTTTCAGAACTTGTAATTATAACGAAAATTCTTAGGCATTCGGAAGCTCAAAATTCAAAAGCACGTAGTCACCTACCATAGCCAAAAACCACAAATCATGCAATTGCTTCAAGCATCCAATATTTATAAATTAAAGATAGAAAAAAATTATGCTTACATGCATAATTTTGACTTCAAATACTCACCAAATTATTCTACTCTACTAATATCGAACATTAAGCTATTGGGATCATTGGGGCTTTTTGGCTTTCAATTGTTAGGCTCTTTGGTTCGAGGTAGGAAATATGGGTATATGTGGCTGTTATTCTTGAATTGAGGTGATTACCCCAAAATCTGAAATATAGGCGTTTGAAACAACGAATTTACCTCTAAGGACATTAATTAACTCGTTTCTCAAAAGTTCAAAAGTCTCACTTTTGCTTTTGAGGCAATAGATCGAGCTTTCAAAAATAATTTCAACAACTAGTCCTTTCTTCTCACTTCTAGTCTCTTCTTCTTCTTTTCTTTTTTTTTTTTCTTTTATAAATATATATAGAAGCCTATGTACTTCTTTGTCTTTTTTTTTTCTTTTTTTTTTTAAGAAGAAGAGAGACCTTATAAAAATTTTCAACCGAACTCCAAGGGGTAATTTTTCAAGAATCTCCATCTATTCTACCTTATACACATTGGATAAAAGAAAGAACACCTTTTCTCCGAGCCTCAAATCAAGGTTCTAAGGAAAATTTCGATAAAAAGGTCGGCTTGAAAGGCTCAAACGGATCAAAGAAGGCCCAAATCATATCCCAAATCACTCACTACTTAATACTTCGTATCATAAATTTCCTAAGGTGAGGTCTAAAACCGAACATAGCATGATCTAACACAAATTAACTCCAAATTTTAAATACAAAATATTCAACTAAAGCAATGCACAAAGTGTGATTCCTAGCAATAATTCGTTTCTAAGTTCCGTTGAATCGAAAGCTAAACAAACATCTAATCCTTATCACAACAAAGCAAGCAATTTCATCATCACACATTGATCATCTCTCATCATCATAACTCATCGATGCGTTCGACTCAAGCAATTTTTTTTTTAAAGAAAATAATAAATAAACGAAAACGACTATAAAGAAATAAAATCCTAAAGCATGCAATCTCAAACCTATAAAGCACATAAAAACTGTTTTTCCAGCCCCAAACTTAAAATTTACATTGTTCTCAATGTAATTAAAACAAAGTTTAAGGATAGAATACACCTTGATTAGTCGAAACGTCCTCCACGTGTTGCACCCCTCCATCTCTTCTTCTTTCAAGCAAACACCTTTTTTTCATTTAATTTTTTTTTTTTAGTAATTTTTTTTTCAGGGGTGTTCCTGACGGCCGTCCCACGTTTTGCACTGTTTTTGGGACGGCCGTCCCACAAATAGTAGGTTCACAATTTGTCGTAACTTCTCCGGACGGCCGTCTGGGGTTTTGGCTTGATTTTCGGACGGCCATCTGGACTCTTTGTGTCTGTTTTTCGACCTAAAAGTTCAAACATGATTAAATTATTAGATTGCACGCTTATATATATATTCTAAGAAAATCAAAAACAACTAAAAATACGAAAAATATGAGAAAAAAAAAACGATAAATGCTCGGGTTGCCTCCCGAGAAGCGCTAAATTTTAAGTCTTCAGCCGAACTTTGCTTCTTGAAATCATTATGTCCAATCCAAAGCCTTGTAGATTGCGCATCCATACATGATCATTATCACTTCAATTGCAACCAAGGTATGGATAGCACTACAATATGTCACGGTCCACCTTAACTTGTAGTCTTTTTTTTTTTGTTGTAATCAATTGGTACGAAGCCAAGATGGGATCTTCATCACCCGCTCCCTCAAATCGGTACACAAAAACCTCAAGTCTGTGTATAACCTCCACATGCGCTTCTACATCGTCAATCCAAGATTCAATGATTTCTCGTTGTCCAAAACTCACCCCATTTAAAGCACCAAGTGCCTCGAATATTTGCACTAACCACATCCATCTCCTTCTTATCTTGTTCCGAGACATCTTTGGAGTTTAGCTCGATTGCATTCTCATATTCATCATCCTCAAGTGTCTTCGTAATTTCTATTTCTCTCATATCGACACTATTTCCTCGACATGGAAGATTTTTCTCACCGCAGGCTTCACCCAAATTTTCTTTGATATAACCATTGCCGATTTCGTCTAGAATATTTTCAAGAGACTCAGATTTTAATTTGAGCGTCATCTCTTCCAGTTGTATCTCCATGTTTCGAAATGATGCTTGAGTGGACTTCATGAATTCGGCAATGAGGGATACCAAATCAAGTTGTTCATCAGTGGTTTGTTGCTGCGAGGGATAATAATTTTGAAAATCAGAAAATTGTGGCTCTCTATGTTGAAACTCGTTGAAATCTTGGTCTTGAAAGCTTTGCTCGTATGTGTTGGTGTAAGTGTTCCAATAACCTCCGTTGGTAATTTCGATGAAATTTGTCGCTTTTGGTGATCCCCAACATTGTTTGGAATAATGATTTCCACCACATGCTGAACAAAACGGAGGCATATCACAGGTGTTTTGGAGGTATTCGTCACTTGGAAACCATTCATATCCCGTTTGAGGTGCCCAAAGATTGTAACCAGACATGTAACAAAAACAAAAAAATAAAAATTAAAAATAAAAATAAAAAAATTAAATTAAATGGATGAAGTAAAAAAAATGCTCAAATTTGATATTAGAATAAATCGATAATTTAGCCGTATTCCCCGGCAACGGCGCCAATAACTTGTTGGGTGCTAAATACCTAACACGCATACGTATCGCAAACAAGTAGTAAAAGTGGACTCGTGAGAGTCGGATGTCGATCCCACAGGGAATACTCAAATTATCTAATCCTAAGTACCAAATTCTAACAATTATGATTTTTATCCCGCCTACGCATAATCGTCAAATTTAATCAACTAAACAATTAAACTAATTATGAAAGCAAATTAACACGAGAAAATATCAACAAAAACGGACCTAGGATTTTATCTTCCCCCTATGCAAGAATTGCTCACCCAAAACCCCTCAATTATGAAATATATGATTCATGATTATTAACCCGAGACACTAATTTACTCATAACCCGCTGTCGCGTGTATTATGAGTCTATTATTCATAAACGGTTCACTATATGTCTATGCAAACAAATTATGAGTAAAGCATTAACTAACAAGTCTCGTAAATGGCTACCTAAGGTGATATATGTATGTCTACGACACCACATGCAATTGACACACTCATCCGGTGAAAACTACTCGAAGGTTCTTATACTTACCGTCTAATTATCAAAATAGCTCTGTCGAGTCAATCCCAATAATCACAGATAAAGAATGATATACATAAATGAGCCGGCCCAATGGCCCCTCATATTTATTTACTAATTAGGCCCACTACACGAAAGCCCAAATACCTTCAAAGTATGGCTTGGGCCCAACAAAGTAAGCCCAACCCAATCACCGATATATAAATAGATGTTTTACTCATTTGTAAAGGTATGATTTTCATTATTCACGAACAAGCTAGAGTTTGATTCTCTCTACCATCTCCGCAATCCGTATATCTGACTTGAGCGTCGGAGGGGTTTCCGCCGGATCAACCCCCGGCGTAGTTCACGTGTGTTCATTTCGCAGTGACCTCAGGATCATCAAGTTGTCAAGCTACTGATCCGCTTTGCTCTCCCAGCTCATTTTCTACACCACACTAGGTGATCTATATTTTAGCATCATCATTTTGGCGCCGTCTGTGGGAACGATGCAAACCAGATCGGGTAGGCAACAAGATCCTCCTGAGGCGCCTGCTCGGAGAGAAAATGACACAGCTAATAACCTTCCAGTCCGTGGAGGATCTGGCATGCCACCTCCTCCACGTGCCGCGAAGCCACTTCCTCCACGTGCCACGGAGCCACCTCCTCCACGTACTGCGGATCCACCTCGCGAGGTTCAGGTGATCCCTCATCGGGACCCACCACTCGCCGATCCACCACTCCCTGCTCCTCGAACGGTTCAAATAACCGAGGACGCGCTCCAATGCATGATAGCAGAAGCCTCAACTCGCGCTGCCACGGAGGCCGTAACTCAATATATCGCCACGATGGGAGCAAACGCTCCCCATGGGATACCAGTGCCAGCTCCACCTATAGCCCCACCCATGGCCCCACCGCCAATCCATAATCAAATAAGTGTCTCCTCCTCTACCTCGGACCCACGGTCCCGAGTGCAGCTATCTACTAATCACCGAAGGGCACAACCCAGACAGCAGCGTCAACGCTCACCCCCACGGGGGAATGCATCACCACAGAGAGTCCCTCTCTTTAATGAGGGAGAAGGCGAGGTAAACAGCAGAATGTCTCGCCAAAATCTTTTCCCCCACCCAAATAATCCAATGGGTGAAAGAATGCCCGTCTGAATAAGACGCAGTCCCTTTACCATAGACATCCTCAACGAGGTATTACCTCAAGGAGTAAAGATCTCGGGATTACCTCAATTTGAAGGGACCACCGACCCACAAGAGAATATAGAGAAATTCAGCGCCATGGCGGATTTATATGGCCCGACGGATGCTTCGATGTGCAAAATGTTCTGCACCACTCTCTACAAGAGAGCAATGAATTGGTTCAACTCTCTGCCCATAGGATCGATTGACACCTTCGCTCGGCTGTCAACTCGGTTCACCAACCAATTCGCCATCAACAAGCAGTATGCCAAGACCCCAGCTCACCTTTTCTCTGTAGTGCAGAGAGATAACGAAATGCTCCGCAACTACATTAAGATTTTTGTCGAAGCCGTCCATGAAGTTCCGAGTGTAGGGCAAGACATGCTCTCCGGGATTATGCAACAGAACTTGAAACCGGGTAGATTCAAAGAGTCTATCGCCGGAAGACCTCCAGGCAACCTAGAGGAGTTGCTGAATCGAGTCGAAAAATACGTCCGCATAGAGGAAGCCTCTACCCACGCTCCTCCTAAAAGGAAAAGAGAAGATGACCGACAAGATAATAGGAGACGGGATGATCGACGTCCACCACTTCCACCTCAAGGTCAACCATCTTCCTCCTACAACAGATTCACTCCGCTAAACACTCTCCTCACTGAAATCCTTCACGTAATAGAACAGAAAGGTTTAGCAGAGCCTCCACGTCAAATGCAAAGCGAGAAAAGTCGGATCGCTATTGTCGATTCCATAAGGATAGATGACATACTACCGAGGAATGTGCACAACTCAAAGTGGCGATTGAGAAGTTGATCAAGCATGGCCACTCAGGCGAATACATTGATAAGTCTCGAAATAAGCGCCGTGATGATCTTCCACGCCGAGATAACAATCGAGATCAACAACAACAACGAGAGGAGGGGGGTCATCGACGAGACCCAGATAACAACGATAACCAACCTACCCGCGGAATCATCTCCTTTATCTCCGGAGGACAGGCGGGTGGCGATTCACAAAATGCAAGATGCACCCTCGCTCGATCAGCACGCATGAATCAAGAACGTGCTTCTCCATCCGCATGCATCTATCAAGTACGAAGACCTGATCATAGCATAGTCTTCAACTACTCCGACCTTGAAGGTCCAGACGAAGATCATGTGGATGCGTTGGTAGTAACAACAACGATGGCCAACTTCTTGGTCAAGAAGATATTAGTCGACGGTGGGAGCTCAGCTGACATCATGTACCTCCATGCTTTTAAGCAGTTCGGCATAGATAATGCCCGGTTTAGTCCAATCTCCACACCCCTGAAAGGATTCACAGGAGAGGGCATTTTGTCCATGGGAGAAGTGAATCACAAAACTAATCAAATTCCTCGTCGTCGACAAGCCATCCCCCTACAACATCATTCTAGGGAGGCCAGCAGTCCATACATTCAAATCAGTGCCTTCCTCCTACCATCAGAAGTGGAAGTTCCCTACTCCCTATGGAATGGGAGAAGTACTTGGAGATAGACGTCTCGCCCGAGAATGCTATGCAAGGGCCCTACGAGAACCTTCCAAGAAGCCTAAACCATCCGGAAGGGGAGACGACACCCAAAAATCCGACAAACGGAAGTGGGTCAACGCGATCATTGAGGAAAATAAAGAAATCCTCATAAGTGTACCAGATGACAGCATCAAGCTAGCAGCCGTGGAAGAGCTTAAGCTCATATAGCTCACACCTAGAGATGATTCCAAACTCCTACGCATTGGATCCGATTTAGATCCTGAGATGGAGAACCAATTAGTCAAATTCTTGCGGCACAATGGAGACGTGTTCGCTTGGAAAGCTCAAGATTTGTCGGGCATCCCCCCTCATGTAGCTCTACATCGGCTTAACGTCGACAAAAGGTTGAAGCCGACCAAACAACGGAAACGAACATTTGGACCCGAACGCAACAAGCACATCAAGGCAGAAGTGGAGAAACTTCTAGAGGCGGGTCATATACGACCAGTTCATTATCCTGAATGGTTGTCGAACGTAGTACTCGTTCCCAAACCCGGGGGAAAGTAGAGGTTATGCGTGGATTTCACTGACCTCAACAAAGCTTGTCCTAAGGACCCATTTCCTTAACCTAGAATCGACCAACTCATCGATTCAACTTCGGGATGTGAGCTCCTCAGCTTCCTTGACGCATATCAAGGGTATAACCAAATCTTGCTCGCACCAGAAGCTCAAGAGAGGGCTAGCTTCGTCACAGACCAAGGCATCTACTGCTATCGAGTCATGCCTTTCGGATTAAAAAATGCAGGAGCCACTTACCAATGTCTAGTGAATGCCATGTTCGCAGATCAGATCGGTAAGAATATGGAGGTGTATATCGACATTGTGCTCGTCAAAAGTGTCAAGGTCTCGGACCACCTAACTGATCTGGATTAGTGTTTCGCCACCCTGTGAAAATATAAGATGAAGCTCAACCCCCTCAAATGTTCATTCGGAGTTCGGGGAGGCAAAATTTTGGGTTATATGATTTCGCAGCGAGGAATCGAAGCTAATCCCGCAAAAATCGAAGCAATCACCTCCATGGCTCCACCAACATCGATCAAGAAAGTTCAACAGCTCAACGGCTGTTTAGCATCCCTGAACAGATTCATTTCAAGATCAGCGGACAAGGCTTTCTCCTTCTTCAAGATTTTAAAGGGAGGAAAAAAGTTCGAGTGGGATGAGGCATGTCAAAAAGCCTTCACTGAGCTAAAGTTATATCTCGCATCACCACCCTTGCTTACAAAACCTTAGCCGGGAGACACCCTCATGTTGTACTTAGCTACCTCGGCTGATGCCATCAGCGCAGTCCTCATCCGAGATGGAGGAAAAGGTCATCAACCCATATACTACATAAGTCGCGCCCTCCAAGGAGCCGAACAACGCTATACCAATATGGAGAAGCTCGCTCTCGCCCTCATCAACGCAGCTCGAAAGCTTCGACCCTACTTCCAGTCGCATCAAGTGGTGGTTCTCACCAATTATCCTCTGAAGCAGATACTAAGAAGTCCTGAGACATCCGGGCGATTAGCAAAATGGGCAATAGAGCTAAGCGAATATGGGATAGAATTCAAACCCCGCCCTGCTATCAAAGCGCAAGTATTGGCTGACTTTCTAGTCGAAATGACCTCAGTAGAAGAAAGCACCTCTCTACCTACCTGGTCTGTCAGCGTCGATGAATCTTCCACTGCCACAGGAGGGGGGGCAGGTATCGTCCTAACAAACCCTGACGGACACGAGTTCGAATATGCTCAACGATTCGAATTCACTCAGCTCGTCGTTAACCAAGTACTCGGAGTTTACGAGGCCAAAGAAGACACCATGACCAAATACTTAGCTCTCACACACGCTCTATTATCCAAGTTCGAGAGCTACGAAATTAAACAAGTGCCCCGCTCCAATAACATCCACGCTGATAAATTAGCTAGGCTTGGAAGTTCCATGGCCAGCATCGGAAGTCGGAAGGTGACGCTCCTCACCTCACCTCAGCCGGTGATAACTTCACCCACTGAAGTACAGTACACCGAGGACGATGAACCATGCAAGTTCACCCCAATCCTGAAATATCTCAAGAAGGGAGAACTTCCAATGGATCCCACTAAAGCACGGAAGTTAAAAACAAGAGCCGCCCGCTTCGTAATAGTGGGAGAAGAATTGTACAAACGAGGGTTCTCATTCCCCTATCTCAAGTGCCTCGACCCGACCACAGCGGATTACGTACTTATAGAAGTACACGAAGGCATCTGTGGCAATCACTCGAGCGGGAGAACCTTAGCTCTCAAACTACTGAGCCAAGGCTACTATTGGCCAACGATTCATGAAGACACGAAGAGATTAGTCCGGAGGTGTAAGCCTTGCCAAGAGCATGCCAATATTCCTCACCTGCCAGCAGCATTAATGCAACCAATTGACAGCCCCATCTCTTTCGCCCAATGGGGAATGGATTTAGTTGGACCATTCCCACCCGCCACAGGAGGACGCAAATACCTCATTGTAGCAGTGGACTACTTTACCAAATGGGTGGAGGCTGAACCCTTAGCACGCATCCGAGAAGAATAAGTCATCCAATTTCTATGGAAAAACATCGTGTGTCGCTTTGGAATCCCACGTTCCATTATCTCAGATAATGGAACCCAATTTTGCGGTGACAAAGTAAAAAATTGGTGCCTCGGCTTGGACATCAAACAATTCTTCACATCGGTAGCAAATCCACAAGCTAACGGCCAGACAGAGGTTACAAATCGCACCATCCTCCAACACCTTAAGACAAGGCTGGGAAGTGCCAAAGGGAAATGGATGGAAGAATTGCCTAACACACTATGGGCTTATCGCACAACCCCACGCGCAGCAACTGGAGAGTCGCCTTTCAATCTAGTTTTCGGCACAGAGGCTATAACACCCGTTGAAATAGGTGAACCATCTTGGAGAATCACCAATTATGATCCAGCAGCTAATGAAGAAGTTATGCGAGGAAGCCTAGACCTTGTAGATGAATTACGAGAGATCGCATACATCCGGCAACAGATGTACAAATCATGCATGGCCAAGGCATATAACTCAAAGGTCCATCCTCGCTCCTTTCAAGTTGGAGATTTAGTCCTCCGAAAAGCTGAAGCCTCTCACCCCATTGGTAAACTCAATCCAAAGTGGGAAGGATCATATAAAATCACAAAAGTGGTCAACACTAGAGCATATCGCCTCAAGAACACTGACGGACACCCTATACCCTGAACATGGAATATAGGGAACCTCAAACGGTTCTACGCTTAAGGCTCCGCGACCTTCCACGTCACTCGTCTTGTAAAATTGTTTCTACATGGTTGGAAATTTTCTACTACACAACTAGGTGCGTTAACACCCTACCTAGAATGGGGGGCTAGCGAATTTATTTACATTAGTAATTCATAATCACATCTCACCATCTTATTACAGATTGAGAACCAATTACGAGGGGATGCATATTACTCAATCAATGGCCCAAAGAGCGAGGACCATCCATACCACATCGCCAAGGGTAACAATACTTCCACTAGAATACACCAAACGCGTGTTCTTGAGTATTCATACTAACGTGAAAAAATAATTCCACTAGCAGGCATGAGCACATAGCAACTCACAGCAACTCACGAGTCGATTTCATATCTCGGAGTGCGAGAGAGAAAAAACAACCCCCGTAGTAGGGTACGTGAAAGTGCAGCACACATCACCACAACTTCAACTACGAAATCTTCAATACGAGTGTTTAAACAAATTTTCTTTTTTTTCAATTATACTTGACATGCATAGAGACGCCAAAAGAAGTCAATCTACCATCAGCACAGTGAAACGAACGAGTACAAGGAAGACGTGGAAGAAGAATAAGTGCCACACAATCACTTAGGAGAGTTTTTATCAAGACAATTTATTTGCTTTAGCAGTAGTTAGTTACCTTCGCCTCACGTAGGTCTATCGACTTAGCTATTTATTTAAATTCGCCTCACATAGGCTTGTAACAATAATCCTTTGCTATCATCGAATAAATCACAATTTTCGTTTTACTCTCTGTGTCTTTATATCGATACAAACTTCCTCTTATCATGAGTCTAATTCAATACCACCCTATAAATACTTAGAGAGATTTAGATAATCCATATAGCCTGGCCAGCTGGATCATCTGAGTTCCTTTATTTGTTTCACGAGGTGTTAATTTTAAAACATGGCCACGGACAAATATATTTAAGACTCAAGCGGTCCGAACAAAGGGCACGAACCTTAACAAAAACCTTGGGAGACTGATCCCCTCCTCAAGTACATCGCGTACAATGCTAAATGTAAATACATATAAGCAGCGCATTAACTCTTGACAATGTCAAAATAAATAACTAAGTATCAAAACTTCAAATGTCAAACAAGGAAGAAATTCAAACGAAACAGTAGTGGACATACCCATCTACATCAGCGATAAAAATAAATTAAGAAATCCATAGCAATAATAAATAAAAAAGAGTTTAACTATCCTAGCAAAAATATCTAAACTTCCCCACCACGGGCGGAAGACGCTCCCACAGTGGGGTCATCAGCAACCATGTCATCAACGAGCTCTGTTCCCGTCCCGTTGACATCGACCTCATCCTCCTCTTCATCGGGTATACCAGCCTCCATCCCCCGAATAACCTTCTCACTAACACCACCCGCATCGCGAAGATATTTGCGACAAGCACGAACTAATGGCTTATAGACCACAACCAACGCATGCTCCTCAATCATAGCAGCACACTCATCACTACCTCGGAAGCTAAGCTTGGTTTCCTCCACGATGGACTCCCTATAAGCCGCACCACCTAACGTCGCGAGGAACCTCTTCCCCGTCGCCTTCTCAACTTCATATTTCTCTTTGAGCTGGTCATAACACTCGTTCAACTTATGAACATCATCCTTATATGCCTTCGCATCACCTCGGATAACCTCGAGCTCCTCTGTCCTCTGGGCATGTTCTTCCGATCGTTGAGTAAGATCTGACCGCGCTATCTCCAATTGGCTTAGCAGTTCGTCTTCACGCGCCTGACTTCGAACCCGCTCCTCTTCCTTCCTAGCTTCCACGTTCCTACCTTGCTCCATGAGATATCTCCAAGTCGCTACCAACTAAAAAAAAAAAAAAAACAAAATTTACACAAGAAAGAGATGAGGTAACATTTAATCTTGTTTTAAATAAACAAGGACTCACCCGACATATGTCCCCACCGGCTAACTCCAACATGTGAGAAGGGCTCTTACCAGAAATCCGAGTACGATCATACTCCCGAACGAATCCCTCGGTACTCAACATCGGCAAATCATGGTCCGACACATCCCAATACGACTCCTTACCATCGCAATTCACGCCATAGGTAAACAACTGTTTCCCTCCCCCACCATAGAAAGCATAGGTCTCCTCTGGGTCTACCCGTGGACGCTTAGGCACAACCACATACTCTGTATCCACCCTCTTTCCCTTGCCACGATCCCTCGTCGGTGGACGCCCCTCCACTTCACCAGCACTGCTACGGTCATCTTCGATAACCCAAGGAGTTTCTACATGGACCGTCTCACGAGACAAACCACCTGAAGAACCTCCCAACATGGCGGGAACCTTCTTCGATGCCTTTTTCGACGTCCCATTCGCCTTAGCTCGAAGTGCCGCAAAGGTGATACCCCCATCTACAAAAGATCACAAACACATAAAAGACATGCGGTATATACAACCAAAGAAAAAAAAAAAAAAAAAAAAAAAAAAAAAAAAAAAAAAAGAAAGAGGCGAAAAAATCAATCACTCAAAGGATATACGGTGCTAACCCTTTGCCTTTGGAATCAAAACCCTCGGGTCAAATTCCACATCACACAACTTAGACTCTTCTATCCTCTTCACCATATTCGCAGTTACGTGAAACTCTCGCACGTAGGGTTCCAAACTACGGGGACGTCGAAAGTGGGAGCATTCACATAAAAAAAATGGGTCTTCCATTCCCCCAAGGATAACTTCACACTTTTCACGAATTGGTAGGGAACGCGAGGATGAAAACAAAAGAAAGGCCACTTATTGGGCCGATGTAACGTAAATAATGCCTTGAACAAACTCATAGTAATAGGCAAACCTACTCGAGACACTCTATGGTGAAACGCCTCGAACATCAGAACAGCAGAGGGAGTTAGCTGACTATACCCTATCTTGAATTCCTCGCAAATCTTCAACAAGGTCAGATGCGGAGTAATCTGAGATGTGCATGTCACATACGCCAAGAATACCGTATGAAACCCATCGGGTGGCGAATACAACCGGTCGCCCTTCTGAGGCAACTACAACTCGATATTTCTAGGCGCTCCAACTAAACGACGAATAGACTGCAAATGCTCTTCCGTCAGTTTACTATCAAAATTAACTAAGTCCAAATTAATCGACTTAAGTTTCTTTTGCCTCCTAGAAAACATCACCCAGCGGAATATCATCTTCCTCCTCCTCTTCGACCATCGGCTCAACTTCACTACTTGGCACCGCATGATCACTCGCCAAAGGTGCTTGATTCGAATCATCGCTATCACTTCCAAAATCCACGACTTGACGCCCATAACGACGTCTACTGGAATCCAATTCATCAACAGTAGGGCAAATATCAACATTATTACTCGCTTCTACATCGTCAATCCAAGATTCAATGATTTCTCGTTGTCCAAAACTCACCCCATTTAAAGCACCAAGTGCCTCGGCGATTCGCCCATCGATTTCACCCGACCCAGCCTGAAAACGGCCTTCCAACGCGCCCTCACGCGCGCACGCGCGTCACAAGCCGCAGCAGGGCCACGTGCCCCCAATCCAGTCGAACACGCGCCGTCACGCGCTTCGGGATAGGGCAGCGCGCCCGCGTCACCTCGGCACAGCCCCTCAGATGCACGCGCGCGTCGCTCGGGAGGCGCGCCAACCACCCGGCAGTCAACGTCCACGCGCGCGCGTCCATCGATCTCCGTACCCGACACGCGCTCGCGTCTACCGATCTCCGCGCCCGACGCACCTGCTACACCGAACCTCCTCTCCTCGGATGCCGTGCGAGCCTCCAGCTCAGCGGCTTTAAGGGGCTCAGCCGCCTTCTCGAGGCGCGCGCCCTCACTCAGATTAACCACTCGGCTCGAGCCTATCCCCCCCAGCCGAGACCCCTCTTTTCTTCTCACATCGTGCACTACCTACCGCAGATCCGATTTCCCCACCCGATACTACTACCTTCTCGCGTTCCATTCCCACGGAACCAAATTTTTTCTTGCCCCCTTCAACCGGATCTCAAAGTTTAATTCGCAAGGGTTTCGAATTACCCGGGTTCGACATGAGAAATATTTTTCCCCAAAGAAGCAATCAAGATAACAAAAAATTTCTACTCTACCGCTATAGAATAAAAGTGTTAGAGTAGGTGACCGGCAAGCCAACTTGTGGTTGTGGTCTTTCTCCTTTCCTTGTAATAAAACAATCGTTTTTCGTTCGTAATAATAAAATATCTTATTTGGCATTCTATATCTGTTATCCCATGCAAGCAGCATAGATATAGTCCTAACGAGTT